AAACATTTGAATTATACAAAGGGAAGTTCCACTGTAGCAGGTGAACTGCCCAAGTTCAATACCACCCGCTCTGGGTGTGATGCATCGATCTTATCGCCCCCCAATTTGAAGGTCGCAGGTGAAGGCCCTCTAAGAACCGCTAAGCCCGACTTGTGATTTTGGGTAGGGTGTTCATATGTATGTTGCGAATAAAATGCCAAAGCTGATAAGCAAAAACAACAAAAACCGTGCGTTTTGTTGTCGCTTGTCGTCCGGTTTCACAGTCTCGGTTTTCTCTCTTCTTGAGGATTTATTGAGCACACACAGCGAATAAAGATAGATGTGTGTGTGAATGCGTCATACTGGCTGAAAAAGCCAAAATCGGCCATAAAAAGATATATCCACAATTCAACAAAATAGTATCTCCGACTGAGAAAAGATTTAATTGAATTCTACACACCGCATTACATTATGTCATATTTACACGCACCTTACACGCGTGTATTTTACACGGCCCACCAACATGAGTGCAACTCAGACGCGAGAGAGAGAGAGAGCGTCTCTGCCGACGTCGGCAGCGTTTCCATTTCGCCTTGCTGTGCGGTATTGGTACAGTACGGCAGTTCTTTAAAAAAAAATGTAAATTTATTATACACATATTTTTTTTTTTAATTTAACAAAAGAATATACCAGTATTTTGACTTATACATACACAAAACGATATCTTTTTGCATTTTGAATTAAATACTAAAATATCATAATGAAATTTATAAGACTAAAAACAAAAACTACTTCGGGATGGTGTAGGACTCGAACCTGTCGTTATTATTAGGGTACATTTAAATTGAAATTATAATGAATATTATGAAAATTAAAATTTTGAACATTTTGAATTAAATTCTAAAATATCAAAATTATAATTATAGGGACTTTCTTTGTGAGGAGTAGGTCTTGATCATGGGTTTCTGTTAGCACACGAGTACTGTCGTACTTGGCCAACATATTATGACTTCCAGTAGATTTAAATTAAAATTCAAAGTCATAGTTTCTCCTCCAATTTTATTCAAGTATTTATATGATTACTTAACTAATACGTCAGTGAAACAATTAATTTACTTCTTAATTATAGAGAAAGATGAGGTTCTTTTCAGTTTTGAGTTTAACGCAATATGTTACTGCAAGTGTTTTCCAACAAAAACAATCTCGGCTAGTTCTTAAACTAAAGATATTCTTTCAAGTTATTCAAAAAAATAACTGAGAATCGTATTCACAGATAAGTTTTAAGGAATGTATTGTTATGAAAAACAAAAGATATCTTAAAGTACGGATTTCCCTCGTTGGTTTTCAGTTAAAGATATCCACATCGCACGAGTGTCCGCCTATCTTGCGACGCTCCATGGAGATCATGTACTGGATTTTGGATTGCATCACCATAGCACTGGCCAATGGCATATTTCGGATCTGAGCAGCTACGCTGAGTCCGAAGAAGGTGAATTCGTCTTCACCTCGCATGCCCACTCCCAGTCCAGCTCCATTCGCCCTTCCAGCTACCGATGATCCCATTCCCAATCCCAAAACCTCACTCTTTTCAGAAAGGGAGCAGGCCGTCGACATGGGGAGTGGCATCTGGGCAGGTGCCGAAAGTGGAGCTGTATTGATCTCGGCGATCTTGGGCAGTGATGGCGGCGGGGTGGGTGGCTGATCCATAGGCATCGGTGCTGCAAGGACAGTAAACAAGGACGACGGTGTAGGAATCGATGGCATCTCTGGAACAGACATGTCATCTGGATCCGGTTTTATCTCGGTCTGGAGCTTGATGGGCTTCAGCCTTGTGAGGCGAATCTGTAGGCGCTTCAGTTGCGGAGTGGTTGATGTTTCGAATTCATTCTGGGAAAGGATTGCAGGGAAGAACCCATAGATAAATATTTATATGATATACTGCGTCAAAATGAGTAAAGCATAACTAAAATCTTCATGTTCAACTATCCAGCTTTTATAGTTTTCGAGATCTCAACGCTTATATGGTACATGATAAGAAATCATTGGCAATGAAGATATCGCCAAGTTATTATCTTAAAAGAAATAATGGAAAATATCTAAACGACCTATTGCTAGGAATCAATCTTTCTAAGGTTTTTTCGGAAGTCAAGATAACAAACATAAATTTAGAGAAGATTTACTGGAAATGAATCGAAAGATCTTCTCTTACCGTGTCCAAGAACTCGGCCAGGAATCCGTGCAGTGGTGCAAACCAAGGCGTCTTTGGCTGATAGCCCGAAATGGTTCGGATCTTCTTCAGCTCCTGGTGGTACCCAGTGCGAAGATTCTTGATCTTCATCTTGACGCCCTGGATGGTCAGACAGGTTTCGTATGGCTCAATGTCAGCATTGATCCCCGCCTGAATTCGCCGGTAGGCTGCGTTTCTAGCTCGCCGTAAATAAGGTCGCTTGTTCCATAGACAAGGTTCCCGGCCGTAAAGCTCGACGAACTTGACCGTACGCTCATCAGAAAACCGATAGGGAAGCCCGACCACGCCGGGTGGTACCGCCGGATTGGTCATGGCTGGATTGGAAAATTGATCTTTTTCGGTAATACTTTCTATTTTCAGAGAACCCGCTCTATGAATATTATAATCTGTATGCCTTGCCAAAAAGCAGAAAAGGGAGAAAGCACAAATGATAACCTCTCCGAACAACTGCTGCTCCCCAACTGACGTTGAACATGTTGCTTTCTGCTTTTCTGCTGCTTTGCTCGGCCCCACTCCCGCCCCCTCTCCTGCTGTCTCACTCGTCTGATGCTGCTTATGTGATGCTTATGTTTTTGCAAGTCTGCTTTCAAGTGGGAGGCAAAGCACAAACGCAAGGAATTTAACACCGCTGTTTAAAACCCAATTTGAGAACGGATACGAGCATTCTTTTATGAGCTACCAAACAAGAATGCATTTTCAGCACGTATAAAAACTTTACTTTGTAGTTGGAATATATATAAAAAAATTTTGAAAATATCCTTGACTTTATCGAATTACTGTTTAGAAAAGTTTTCAACGCCCAAAACCCCAAAATAAAGCATGTAAACAACGATTTTTTCAAGCAATTCCAAAGCAAAAACGAATGAAAATTTGCTGACGATGTGCTTTGTTGCTTTTACGGTGCTGCTCGAGAGAGAGGCGTAGCGAGAGAAGGCGCAGGTCCGTTATTCGAGAGGCGCTCTTAGAGCACAGTGGCGGATCCAAGGGGGTTTCGGCTTTGGAAGCACCAAAAGGGAGTGCTCCAACCAAAACATCACGCTCTGATATGATATAACCCCCTAGAAATATTGTTTGGGGCCACTACTGTGCTAAACAATAAACTTTGAAGTTACTGATGCAGCAAATATGCTTTATACACGCAGAGTCTTAAGCAAGGGGTTTGTCGGGTTAGAACTACATCATAATAATAACATCTATAACTTAGATACAATTACTATAAATAATTAAAATGCTGACATTTTCAAATTTATTTTTAAACATTTCTTGTACTCTTCCGGAACCTGAAAACTTAAGATCCATTTCCCAAATGAAATCCTGCAAACGCCCCTGCTAGTTTGTATGTTATTTTTACATACAACATACAGATGTAATAAAGCTAAACTGAAGTTGTCATAGAAATGTATGCTCTCTCATTTTGCAACTGGAGACTGAAGAATTGGAGAGGGATCGCCAAGTACATACATTGAACATTAACAGCAGCTGTTAATTAACAGAACGCTTGTGTATTTTTGCATTAATATTGCATTTCCTCTAGACTCGTATACCATTTTTTCCTTAATGCGCCCCTCTTGCAATCTGGATGCAACGGAATGCAGTTTCTGGTTCCCTTCAGGTAGGTTCCATCTTCTTCATCTGCCTGTTTGTCTTTCCCTTCGCCATCGCCCCTTTCCTCGTCCTATTTTATCCTTGGCTATTGTGAGCTTGCAACAGCGCGTGACATCGTTATCCTTTGTGCCTCCGGGAGGAAAAACTGCAGCGGCAATTCTGGGATCCATTGTTACGGTTTTCGGGGCATTTACGATTTGATTGTGGGAAAATGCTTTTTTTTTCTGGGAATACTTTCCAGACTCCGTTTTGAAACTATTAAAATATTGTAGGTATAAATGTTATAGAAAATATATTTAAGTAGGACATATGTACACTTCAGAAACATTCTTATGCTAAAAAAAATCCCTAAAATGTAAAGGCTTTTAAAGGTAATGATTATTACTCTTAGAATATTGATGATCAAAGATTAAATGAATAAAATTTTTCATTTTTTGTTTTTAATAACTAACAAATTGCACTTTTTTTTAATCAAATACGATCCAACTACGCCAGGTAAATAATTGATTTATTAGGGACTGACACAATAACATTTGCTAGAATTCTATGGGGGAATCAGCATTGCCTTTGACTTTTGATCTGATCAAACGTTTGTATGAGAAATATCGAAATACAGATGAAAAATTCGTCAAGCAAGGAAGTGAATTTCTCGTACTAAAAGTAAACCTAACAAAAAAAATAGAGTGTCTATAAGGAGTAGAACAGAACCAAAAAGTTTAAAGTATTTTATAGCGAGGGTAAGTTGACAAAAAAAACTATTACTTTTTTTAGAAATAATTCCGGTTTTTAAAAATTGATGTTTCGGTAAATGTTTTTAAGTTCCGTAACTAACTTACATACTTGCTGGCTATAAATTTTTGGCGCCATTTTTAAAAAGCGACCCTCGTTCTTTTTGCGGTATGCGTTTCGTTCGACTGAGAGAGTTTTCTGGTCTGGTTTTTTTGCAAGTATGCGTATGCAGAAGAAAATTCGATACTGCAAACTAGTTACAGTCCTTTTCTCAGGAATCGTAGGGAAAATCGCAGTAGATTTTCTTTTCCCAACTAGTAGGTCTATTATCGTGGCAAAAGCATTTTCTTCCTTTCCTGCCTAGCGTTTTATTTGTTTTTACATGCCATTTATCGTCTTCCGCTTTGCTCGTCATCGCAGAGAGCGTCTCTCCCTCTCTCCCGCAGCTGCGTCGCTGCCGACAGCGCTGCCGCTGCCACTCGCCTTCGCACTTTTCGTTCTGCCGGCAGACGCGTTCTTCCGTACAGTTAATTTCGAGCCACACAAGCGCAAGGTTGGTTTCCTCTCCCAAATCCCAATAACATTGTGCAAAATACATCAGAAAAAGTTTATTTAATAAGTTGCCAGACTTTATTTGTTAAGTGCCCAGTGAACAGTCGAAAATAGCCGTTTTTCACCGTGAAATTAGTGACTACCATTTTCAGGCAGCGCCGTGTCTGTACCCCAGAGCAAAAACAAGAGCGGAGAAATCGAAATCGTTGCCATTTTGGCTTGGCTTCTTTCCTTTGCTCGCTGCTTCTTAGGCCTCGCCTCAAAATGGCCGCCGATGTCGCAATTTTCCCTGTTTTAGTTCAAAACTTGCAGTTTTTGGCTGAATTAGTTGTTAGACGCCTTCAAAAACGCGCGCTTTTTCGCCTATACTATTTCCTATAAGATATGCGTTTTTGTGCATTTGTTTTTACCCGACATTTAGCGTTTTCTCTTTTAATTCGCCGGTTCGGCGAGAGAGAGAGAGCGCGCTTCCGCTCTCCCAGAGAGCACCCCTCTCCGAGCTGTACTCTCTAGCTATTTTCTTTGTTAATAATTTGTTTGTTTTGCTTGTTGGCTATTAGAAATTGGAAAATAGGAGGTATTTATCAAATCCATATCCAAAGATATAAGTATGTAGTGGCAAAAGTAAAAGAAAACGCAAAAACAAAGCCACGCTCTCGCGAACATCTGCCGCCTTCATTTTTTTTGCGCAACTCTGCCAAAGCCGGCGTCGACTGCGGCAGAGCAGAGCGAATACGTGTGAGAGTGCCGCCTTCATTTTTGGCAGTCGACGCCAACTCGTTCAGTTTTTTCCGAAGAACAAGCGGCAAAGGTTGGTCCACGGAGCTCTGAAATAAATCATCTCAATAAAATAATAGAAATACTTGTTTAAACAATATAAATTCTGTGATAAACACAAAGTGCTAGCTGGCTGCTTGGTTAAATAAAACAAATATTCGTTGAAGAGAGAGTGAGCGATTCCCAGGAGAGTGGTGACCAAACACGTTGAACTAGCCACTTTAATTACTGAAAACCCTATTAGAACAGCCCTAATTGGCGCAAAATAAGTGTTTTCTTAAAAACCTGTACCTCAAAATGCCATTTCCCCAGCATTTTCGAGGTTTTTGCTCAATTTTCCTTACATTTTGAGAGCGCGTCGCAGTCTGTACCAGTATAAGGCAGTCATCGCATACAGAAAATGTGTGTCTTGCCTTTTCGCTGCCTTTCGCACTCGCCAGCGAAATTAGTGCCTCTTTTTGGGGCTAAAAGAAGGACTTTTAAGCCCTCTAAATAGTTGCAGTCCCAAGGGTCCATACAATATTGCCCCGTAGAACGCCAATTAACTTCATATTAATTATTAAGTGGCGCGCGTTCAAGCAGATAGAAGAAGCAGCAAGCGCGAGAGACAAGCGCGCGCGCGCGCATTTTTCAGTTTCTTTTTCTCCTGAGAGTGCTGAGCGTTAGCAGTACCAGTAGTTCCATCTCCCTTGCGCCGCCATTGCTCTGCCTCCGGTGGTGGCTTGCTGTCCCGCTCTGCCGCCGCCGCTGTTGTTGCTTTCGCCTTGCTGTTTGGTACAGGAACATGGCGCGCTGCTAAACGGAAAATGTGCTGCCCATAACATTTTGAATTAAATGTTTAGTTTTGGCCCGGGAGTACAGTTCCACAGAGCAGTTATAGGTTATTAGTTAGAAGATCTACTAAACAAAAATTTAAAAAAAAAGTACTAAACTAATTCAGAATTTTCTCTATACTATAGTATAGTTTAAAAAGATCAAATATTGTTTGGTTGTACAATTTTTTTAATGCAGGAAATTCTATATGAGGTCATAGGAATGATCTTAAAAAAATATTATATTAAATTGTTTGATTTTGGGTTACAAAGTACAGTAAATCAGTAGAAATTTGTTATAGATGACAATATATTATATGGTATATTATATGTTTCTTATTAGGAAGAATATTCCAGCAGTTACCATAGATCTTACTTACATGTAAAGAAGTGAATATCAAGTTAATAGAAATGGGGTAGTTATAGATTGTTAGTTAATTATAGTCTGGGTTAATACTAGGAAAATGGTATTCACTGAAGTCTGTAACTTGTTTTTATACCTAGGGAGTCTTAAATTATATTATATCTAACCAATTATTCCCTTTCTACTTGCAGCCAATAATACCTAGTGTAACACTTGTTAAATAGTTTCAACAAAACACAAATAACATGGCCGATAAACCAAAACGTCCTCTCTCCGCCTACATGCTGTGGCTCAACAGTGCCCGCGAGTCGATCAAGAGGGAGAATCCCGGCATCAAGGTTACCGAGGTGGCTAAGCGCGGTGGCGAATTATGGAGGGCAATGAAGGACAAGTCGGTGAGTAGTCTTAACCCAAAATAACCCATATACCCCTTATTAATGTACCACTCTTTGCTGATTCCTAGGAGTGGGAGGCCAAGGCTGCCAAGGCCAAGGACGACTACGATCGGGCTGTCAAGGAGTTCGAGGCCAATGGCGGTGGTGGCGGTGCTGCCAACGGTGGAGCCAAGAAGCGCGCGAAACCAGCGAAAAAACCATCCAAGAAGAGCAAGAAGGATGAGTCCGATGAGGACGACGATGATGAGAGCGAGTAGACTGCTCATACTTACCCCTTATTCATCACCAAGTCACACACACAACAATCCAGAACCAGAACCCACAAGAATACAAAACACTGGTGGCAACACCACATCTCCCGCATTTGCATCCATAAAAGTCCCTCTAATATAGAATGCCAAGCCCGATCTATCATCAACAAACGAGATCTGTTGAGGTTGCAACTAAAATCACACACCACACACACGAGAGAAGAACAAAAATACGTGAAAATAAGCAAAATTGTATTTATACATATGAATTTAAGTTTATAGTAGAGTCGTTTCTCTTATAATAATACCCCAAAATACAAAGAAGAAAGGACAACCAACAGGAAAGGAGAAGAATGTAAGAAGGAAGTACGTTGAGGTGTTTTTTGTTCAGTTTCTGTTTCGTTTCGTTGGAAAAAACGATTGCGTTTCAGGGATTGAAGAGAAAATCGACCTTGCATATAAATTTGTAAAGTAAACGATAAAATAATTCCATTAAAAATAAAAAAGATACAAAAATGGCAATTGTTCTCTCAGTAGTTGGATAAAATCGACTCGATTACAAACTGTAAACTTTAAGATCGGGCTGGAGAAAAAGGGTTAAATATCCACTTCACAGACAAAATACACACGAAAAACAAACAAACAAAACACCGCAAATGAAACAAACGAAATTTCGCTCAGGTCTTTTCGTCATTTTGCATTAAACTTAATGTTTAACGTCTTGTTAGCTAAAGATGTATAGCAGAAGAGGAAATCGGAAGGTAGATGAGACAAGCAGATGTAATTGCATTTAATCGGTAGTTTTAATTGATAACTATACGTATAATTTAATGAGAAAACCAACAAAATAAAATAAATACATTTTTTAAATGCGTTGAAAATGGATTGCTCTTTTATTTGCTGGGAAAAGAATAAACACACGGGGTTCTTGGTACTTTAAACGTTTTATTTTAAATATCATTATGAATTCAATAGTGATTCATGCTACACTCTAAAATGATTTCTTTCGTTTCCGGTAGTTATGCAAAAATCAATGCAATGACTTCTGTGGGATTTAGTGAACTATTATATATTTAACTATTTATCGTATGGGATTATCGCATACAAATACCATCAGAGTTCTTGTCTTCACTTTGGGATTAGATTATCAAATGTTAACAGATATACAATAGAAACAACCCTTTAAACAATATCTTTTCAATGCAATGGAGTGATGATTCGGTCGCGGGTTGAGATTAAAGCTTAAATTTAGATACATGCTCCTTAAGTGGTGCCAGATCTTACAAATTAAGTATGGGGCCTTTGTTTCTTGGTTTTCCACGGTGTACAAAACAGAACGGTGTTGCGCTTATTTATTATCGAGCTTAGACTACGAAGTTATGTATGGCAAACAAAAAACAAAGTCTCTCTCAGAGCCTTTCCACAAAAGAAACGAAGTCAAGAAACGAAAGAAGCTGTGTTCCAAAAGGGTGTCCGTAGCAAGGTGGTGGTCATCCTAGCACCCACCGAAGATCTCCGACCATCTCAGCAGCCTGACCCACACACCTAATTGCGATTCAGCCAGAATATTGTCTTGAGTACGAAGTAGGCCAGGCCCAGACAGTAGACGATCTTCTCCCGCTGCGTGCGCTGCTCGTTGTTTATCTCGATGTTGAGCACCCGGCGATTCAGCTTGGCCAGCTGGCGCCTCAGATACAGGATCTCCTCGTGGGGCGTCAGCTCGCCCATGGGCGTGCCCTCGCGATGCGCCAACATCGAGGCATCCAGGTTGTTGTGCTGCTGGTTCAACTGCGAGCGTTTGCTGGCGCTGCCCGTGGTCAACTGAAAGAAGTAGGGCATTCGAGGATTAGTGGTTTACAAGAATGGGTTGGGGTTATATACCATTTTGAAGTGTTTGGCTATGAAAAATACAGCGGAGGTGGGGAATTTTGGAGAATATTTGTGTAATCAATGTGACAGACGTATTAAAAGACTTGAAAGGTGTATATAAAGTTTCAAATGTTATACCAACTCAAAAAACTACATTAATTCCTAATTCTCAAGAACTTGCGGTCCATCGATAAGATAAAAAAACTATAGTGAAAAGGGAACATTTTAGTGTAAGCTTTGTGAATTGAGAGTTGCAATGGTACACCATCTGAAATACCTACATGTATAATAATTGGCTAAAGAATTCCTTTGAGAATATTTTTTTTTTTTTGCTAAATTCTGGGAGGGAACCCTACTTTGTTTTTGGTCATGGGCAAAGAAATTACAGATTTTCTGACAAAAATAAAATATACTTTGCTAAGATTCCCCCTGAACATTTCCGGTGTCACAGTAGCTTCTCTGTAAACAATCAACATTCACAAGCCCCCCTAAATCGAAATTTCTGTATAGTCAACAATTCTGATTTTTCGGTCCGCACAATGACAACCAGTCCAATCTTCGCCGACGTTGCTGAAGGCGAGCTGCCCAAACTAGAGGCGATAATCAGTGCCTTGAAGTGCGAGCAGACGGGTCACATCATGGAGGCTATCCTGCTCTACGAGGAGAGCATCTTTAAGTTGTCCCAAATGGCTGAAGCGGAGCCGAGTCGCCGCCAGCTGTGTGGGAAGTACCTGAAGATGTACGAGTCGCGGGCCAAGCAGCTGAGGGACCAGGTCAAGGGTCACCTGCACTCCAGCCGCATGCTGGATCACATCACCATCGAGCAGGGGGCCAGGGGCAGGAGCTACCAGCGGTTGTTTGGTCCCTACTTGGACGACGGTGTGAGGGAGGCCCATCTCAACGAGCCTCACCTAACGGAGCCGTCTCACTTCAGGAACCTGCTTAACTTTCTGGAAGTGTTGGTCAAGAACTGTCGCTATCTGAAGTACATTCGCCTGACCACGAGACCCGATGTGGTGGCGCCCAAGAATCAGTTGCAGATGCTGCAGCAGATGAAGAACGACCTGGCCGGTGGCAATATCCAGATGAACTTCCAGATGGACGACAGCCTGCACGACCGCAAGATTGTGCTCAGCTCGGGAGTGGTCATCAAGATTGGCCGAGGACTCCACTACTTTGAGCCGGCGGAGGGGTCCTACAACCTGGGCCTGTGCGATTTCGACTTTCGCAAGTGCCTAGCCACCGAGGTGGACATCTGGAAGTGCCGGGCTTTTGCCAAGCGGCTCAAGGACTCGGAGGAGGACGAGTACCAGCCGTCGAAGGAGGATCGACCGGAGGCCCATGCCTACTCCAGCGATTAGCAAGAGTGAGAGTGCGATTTCCGCATAGTCGCTTGAAATTAGGTCAGCCGCCTTATCACAGCAGTAATATAAATTAATAAAAGCAGCAGGTTGTTAATCTCCCAGCTGACTGAATGGGCGGATCGCTGATTTCCATAACCTAGTACTCCATTGCATCATGATTGCAGTTCAAAAGGTGTATTTAAATACAGTAAAGGTTAAAATAAGTGGATAAACACAACAGTGATTTTGACGATTTAAAATATAGTAAGGGAAAAATGATGTGAATAAGCCCATTGTAGTCTTCAGTAAATCAGCTCTATCAAATCAAGTGATACTTAAAAGTAACACTAAGAGATTGCTGATAAGTCAACTTATAATTTCACGAGGTGTCGTGAAAGACAACAAATCCTAAAACGTTAACAGAAGAACCACATGGACAATACCTTACAAAAATAGGAGAATAATAGGAGAATAACTTATAACTGATAAAGGTAACTTAATGGATTTAATTTATATATTAAAACGTAACATACATGTTCAAACTTAAACATGTTCTATGTGTATGTCCATTACCTTCTATTCTGAACTCCTAAATTAGCATTGATTTACATTTAAATAAACAGCAACAAAATGGAAGTTAATAAGGAAATGCTATTGTGTGTTTTGATTGTAACTGCGAGGGCCTGTTGAGACATCCCTTTAAATGGTATGATAAATCCACTTAAAATAGGAAATTTGTAAGGAAATGCTGTTTACAATATAACTTCTAGTATCTGTTACCATTTGAGTTGAATTACAATCGAACAAAAAACATTTGAATACAGAACTAGAACCTCTTGAAAACTTGAGTTACTGATAAACTCACCTGGGAGTCGGACTCCACGGAGTGGGTGTCGTTTGTGTGGAATCCCATGCGGGCGACACCATTGGCGCGCACATACTGGGTGGCCGCGTGGCCCTCCTCGTCATCGGCGTCCTCGTCGAGATCGTGGCCATACAGGTGGTGACCGTTGGCCCGGATGGGCGAGCTCTCCTCGGAGGCCGAGGGGAAGTGGTGATCGGTGAGGGTGATGACGCGCGGCGGCGTCTGGACGCGCACCAAGCCGATCGAGGGGTTCTTGGGCAGAATGGAGTTCTCCAGCTGGATTTCCCGAGGCGCCGAGCGCGTCTCCAGGTGCTGGTTGTGTCCGAGGACCACAATTCGGTCTGGCACATTCATGTCGATCTTGTCGTGGTAGTTCCAGGAGCTGATCATCCCGTTCTGGTTGGACAGCAGCAGGTCCTCGTCGGAGAACTCGCCGGTGGCCTTAATCCGCTTGGGAACCCGCATCCTGTCGTTGATTTCGTGGGCGAACTTGGCCTCATTGTACAGATCATCGTCCAGACCATTGAACATGGGCGTCGGCGATTGGGGGGTCACCATGGCGATGTCCTCGGGGTTCCTCAGATCGGATCCTATGTCCTATATGGATTTACTTGCTTTTCCGCAGCACTTCTGATGGGTTTTTCGTTGATTTTTTAGTTTTTTTCAAGGAGGCGGCCGTGAGAGAGACGTTTTCATAACAAATTAATAACCAGAATTTGGGAAGCGCAACATTTTCGTCTGTCTTGTTTGTGTGTTTGTTGTTTCTGTTGCAGTTGGTGTTTCTCGAATGCCTAATACTCACATTGCTCTGGAAAATGACAGGAAAATGTCCGGGAAATCCGTAAGAATTTACAATTTTTCTCCTGCCTTTTGTTATGTGTGTGAGGAGAACGGAGATAGAATGTGCTAAAAAATCCCGAACATGACAGGCACTGTTCTGTTGCGCGCCAGATCTGGCTGTTTTATAGCTAAATTAGCAGAGGTTCGATAAAAATCGTTTAATTTAAATTACAAAATTATGTTAGCTCTGAACTGTAATGGTGAAGTTTTCTAAGTAATACTTGTTGTGGATTTATTTAAATAAATACATATATGTTGTTTTACAATTTGTGTTCTTATTTATTATCTTATTTTTATTTACTTGGATTAACAAATGTTACATTTCTCGAAGTACCCTGTTAAAATGTTACTGTAAACTTCTCACAGCGTGCTGTTGGGCGCATTTTGTGTTTTCTAACACTGAAAAATACCAACGCAAGGAAATATATACAAATATCGTATCGATAATAAATGATTTAAAAAAAATTAAATGGATAAAATACTTATCACCCGAAAAATAATGAGTATTTATGATATATTTTTAGTTGACTTACTTGCTTTGTTGTTATTTTTATAAGGAAGAAAAAGGAATTTTAAAACTCTTGAACACGCATGTGACTTAAAGACATAAGTTACTAACAATGGAACTTTGGATCTGAAATGTATAGTTCTACACTCTGCTTGACAGAAAATCAGTGTTTTTTACATCATAAAAAAGTTACTTCGGTACTGAAATTAATAGTTTACATTAATAAAAACATTTTAGTGATATTAAAAAGAACCTAAATATCACGGTATAAATATTTATTTTTATTAAAAAAATATCGATATATTGACATGGACATATTTTTCCCATCCCTACTTTACAACAAAACTTTCGCAGCCGCCGACAGCCAGACGCGCGTCTTTTTTTAACCAGTGATTTGAGCTGAATTTACGGCATTTAATTAGCCGCAGAGAGTGAAAAACTACAACTAACCAGCAGCAGCAGTGAGTAACTAAGTTTATAAGTGGTTAAAATAGATAAAACATAGTTAAAACAGCGTTTAAAGAAGAAGCACCAAGCGAGTGCGAGAGAGAAAGAGAGGGAGAGAGCGGTCTCTGCCAGCGTCGCTGCCTGCGGAATGTACAGTTGCGGCAGCGACGTCGCTTTTCCTTTCGGCGCGCAAACACAAAAAAAGGAAATAGAAAAAATAGAGAAAACATTGAGCAAAAACAACAAGAAGAAAAACTAGAGAAAGCCACAGAGTTACTTAAATACATTTATAGATTGTGTGTATTTTGTAAGCTATAAATAAAATGTAGCACTCGCTCATGCAGAAACCAAAGATAATGACTGACAGTTTCCATTTTGCAGCACGTTTTTCGACCGGAATCAGCAATGGATCGTCGCCTGAGACGCCCGCGTCGCGCGGACGAAGTGTCCGGCGGCCCAGTTCTGCAGCAGTCCTCGCAGCCCAGTCTCCTGCCGGCGACGCGACGGGCGGGATCCCTCTCAGCGGCGGCGGCGGCCACCACCGGTCCCGCCACCCGCACACGTGCCTCGCCCTCGCGCAACAAGGTCGCCGCCCCGCCCTCGCCCGACCTGGGACCCCGCACCCGGCGCTCCAGTCGCCCGCGTTCTTCGGTGGGTCCGCTCACCGCATCGGGACCGGGATCCGGTTCCTCGCTGCCCCTCAAGGCCGCCATCAAGGCTCGCACGCCCATCAGAGAGGTCTCCGAGGTGAGTACTCAGGTAGTTCCCCCCAGCTAAACCAGTTTTCCGCAACATAGACAGAAAAATTGTGTATCCCTACCTTATCAACATTACCAGTACTATCAGTTGTTACTTGTGTTACATGTTTACTTTAAGAATATCTGTTTTTGTTCAATATTGCAAGTATCATCTGTTTATAGTGTATAAATGTATATCTTCATTCGGCCAATTCAAGTACTATCATCTTATTATTTTATATGATCACCAACTAAATGTATACATAAACTGGATCCTTATTGCCAGTATTAATAGTCAGCCATTTAGAGTCCTATACACCTATCAATAATTAATTATTTATGTTTTGTGATCAGCGATAAAAGTCCTAAGATGTTTAAAATTCAATATATGTATAAGTAATTTCAGTTGTAATACCCTATTTATATTTACCGAATTAATGTCCAATTTGTTAATCCGTAAATTTAAATAGACATAAAGAACTTACATGCTTGTCAGTCGGTATTGTTACCAACATATAAAAACTACACATCAAAACTACGATCAGTACTATCAACATATTGTTTATAACGATTATTGTTTATAAATCATTTTTATTATAATTAATAGAAATCTTTACTATTAGTTGTTTTCTAACCAACTATTTCATATTTCTTATCAACATATAGTTGATTAGCATTATTGTTTCTTAATTAAATTAAATATGGACGAGTAATGTTTGCAATCGTGAATGATTTGCTAATTGTTAGTTAATTAGTTAGTACTAACATGATCCCAAAAATAAGTGTAGAGGATATATTTCTTGATTTCCCATAGATTATCTTTATTTTGATTGCATGTGGCATCGGGCCACTTAGCTGATAAGCATTACTCGAAATGCTTATCAACTCAGGGCCTGCGCTACCAAAACATAATTTCGGCTGTAGATTTTGGATTTATAATGGGCGTGTTAAACTGCTAATAGCAGTTGTTAATTACCCAATAAAAATATAAAACGAAATCGAGTAGCCAGAGAGGCTTTATTTATAATACCTCCTTTCTTGCACATAGCACTAGAAACCCTTACTAATTTTAATCTTCCCTTAACAGGTACCGTCGCCCGCTCGTCAGTCGACGGCCAGCAGTTTGCCCCTGGCCCTGACCACCAACACATCCAGCGGTGCCCCAAATAAATTATTCAACACAAGCTCTACGAACAGCGGCAACAACTTCAGTCGCACCACCACAACCAGCTCCACCACAACCACCGAGCGCATCGAGATCCGCGCCGAAGGAGAGGGCGAGGTGGACACAGACTCCATTCGCAAGCGCATCACCGAAAGACTCCGCAGATCGGTGTCCAAGACCATCTCGAATTTGGCTGGAACCCCAGTGACAAACACCGAGGAGGGCAGTCGCTACAGCCGCAGTGTTTCCCGATCCGTGTACGACGACGAAAAGTCCTCGAAGCACAGCTACTCCACGGGCGAGGAGGATATCGAGGAGGAGGAGGAGGATCAGTTCCGTAGCTTCAATGTCACCCGGAAATCGGCCACACCGGCGGAAACATCTTGCCGCCAGTTGAAGGCTCCCCGCGAATTCGGAGGCTGGCTGGGTGCCTTCCTGTTGTTGCTCCTGCTGCCCACCGTCGTGTACTATCTCACCTGGAGCTGCACGGCCCGCAATTCCTGTCAGTTTAAGCATCTCAATCTGGGCATTCTGCTGGATGTGAACTACCTAACACGTCAGGTGTTCCAGCCACGAGTGGTCGGCGCCTTTGCCGCCTACCAGGCTGTGGTCTTCCTACTGGTAGCCCTGCTGCCAGGACGACGGGTTCATCTCACCCGGGAGACCTACAAGTTTAACTGTCTGGCAGTTGCTCTCACCCTTTTGATTGCCGGTGGAATCGCCGAGTATCTGAAGTACCCAGTGGTGACCTTCGTTCTGCGTCACTATCTACGTTTTTGCATTTTTGGACTCGTCGGAGCATTTTTGAGTGCTGCCTGGAGTTACTGGCTGGTGGACAACGCCAAGTACAATGTGCTGCGCCAAACGCTGACGAATGATTACGGCAGGACTGGCAGCTTCGTGGTGGACTTCGCCCTGGGCAGACAGCTGAATCCCAAGTGGCTGGGACGCGTGGACTGGAAGCAGTTCCAGTACCGCCTCTCCCTCATCAGCACATTGCTCTATGCCGCCTGTTATATCTACCAGACACTCGTGTGGCCTCAGAAGCCCCAGATGGCAGAGCAGGGCTATCTTTACGTGGTCAAATACTATTGGAACAACGTCAACTACGATGCGGGCACCCTGCTCTCGGCCAGCTGTTTACTGCTCTACGTTCTGGATTCGATCATTTTCGAGCACCACCTGAGCTCGTCCTTTGAATTGCAACACGAAGGATACGGCTGCTTGCTGCTCCTGCGCTACGCAGCCACTCCGTATTTGCTGACGGCGGTCACCAAGTATTTCTACGAGCAACGTATAACCATCTCCTGCTGGTATGCTCCGCTGGGAGTGGCTGCTCTGCTGTCTCTGGGATTGCTGGTGAAACGTTTCAGCTGCGCCTACAAGTACAAGTACCGCGTGAACTCGCAGAGTCCGATCTTCGCCAACATTGAGACCATCCACACGTACCAAGGAAGCCGCCTGCTGCTTAGCGGGATGTGGGGATGGGTCAGGCAGCCGAATTACCTTGGCGACATCCTGGCCCTGCTGGCCCTGGCTGCCCCAGTGGCCCTGCGTCCTGCCTGGCCCCCTGTTTTGGGCCTCAGCTTGATCGTCCTGCTGCTGCTTCACCGCGCCACCCGAGCTAACGCCAGGAATCAGGCGCGCTATCACTCCTCGTGGCACCGCTACTGCACCCAGGTGCGAAGCTACATCCTGCCCAGGATCTACTAAGGACTTGATTGAAGCACTAGTTGACTTTTTATTTTTGTGGCCATTTTTATTTCGATTTCAGTTTGTTTATATTTTATGTTTCGAATTATATATAATGTATGTATATATATAAATACGTATTCATATTGCTCTAGACCATCAATATGCACCCCATAACTCCCATTCTTTTAAGTACAAAATTTGATTTTACTCTCGTCGACAAACATTTAAGAAAACAACTTCTCGCACACACTAGCTTAGGTAAAAAGACTCCCAAAACATATAGATGTACGAACTTATGCGCTTAAGATCTAGACACCTTAAAAATAATCATAACTTTATTAATCTATATGGTATGCATATAGAATTTACTTTTTAAACTTAAATATGAAATAAAAACTTAAGTTTCTATGCTCTAAAGAAACGCACGACGACACGAGTTATTATTTGGTTAAGGAGGGGAATTCCTGTTTCGGAAATTATATTATAAAAAACCAGGTATTTGGTCAATCAGTTTGCCAAATTAGGTCAGAATAAGGAATGTCATACCTCGTTGAGCTCGTAATTAAATTTCCAATCGATTGGCAATCAAACCTGAAAAATTTAATTTTACACAAATTTTTCCAAAACAAAAACATGCTGTAACCCTGTAATGACATTCTCGAAAAGTGATAAGGATCGGTAGCGTAGGTGGCTAGCTGCCCAGGTTTCGATCCAAAAACCGCACAAAAGTAAGGGTATTTTTGTGCGAAATCCTACTACCCGTTTTTCGACCCGAAAAAACGATCTATTAACTATATTGTATCTAGATTGGAACGATACAAAATATCAACACCCCCAAATATTTGAAATAAGGATAATGCAGCTTTCAAAGGTTTAAATTTAAATATTAAATTCGAATTTACCTGTTATAGGATCATCTATTTTCGGATAGGTGGCAAAGATATGACGATAGCATAATATCAGCATGCAAAAATTTTAGAAAAAATCAGCCTTTGAAAGTTGAAGTACCTGAGTTAGCATTACAGTAAAATTATTCACACTTATTCAAAAAAATCAGTTGAATCTCGATAAGCTCTATGAATCGATTTTCACTTAGAACTTGCCAGACTAAAAGGTCAGAACAGCCCCAAGTGGATTTCAATTTGAATCAAAATACAAGTTATGATGGGGCATATTTCACGGGGCTTGCCAGAAAACTGCGTCTGATGATGATGATGAATGTCAGTCAGCGAATAAAAGAAGTAATTTTGTGTAAAAATACCCGCTCCACCGCCTTTTCGGTTGGCCGGACGTACCGCACAAAATTCTGGGGTGTGGGCGTGCCCCGAAGCCGTTACAACTGTTAATGACATTTACGAATGTTTGCGAGCAACCGAGACTTGGTAGCCCCATCCGTTCCCGTCGCCCCACACACATAATGCCAAAATAATGACGAGGTCTGGGGTTGCACCTCCAAAGGACTTGCTCATGACATTACACAGAAAACTACAATTTTACAGTAGAGTTTCGGTTAACCTTTTTATATTTTTTTATAACGAAACAAATATTTTTAATAAAAAATAAATATTGTAATGTAAATATTTTTGGTACTCCGGATTATTTAAAATAGTTATAATCGATTGAAATGGATAAAAAATTGTACGTTCTTATGTATTTCATCTATTTTTAGTAAACTTATATTTTGGATACCAAAAAATATCATTTTTTTCTATAAAGAATGTAATATTATCTATTTTGTTTGGATCATATGATCCATGTTCAATTTGTTTTGTATATTCAAAAAAATTTATGGTCCATTGAAATGATAGAAAACACCTTATTTTAATCTTTATTTCATAAACAGAAGAGAAAACTTCTTAAAAAATTAGGAGTTATATTTAAATCAAAAACAATTTTCTGTGTAAAGTTCCACAGAAAAATGACGCGGAAACTGTCAAAAAAAGTAAGCAAATGGCGGGTGAAAAAATCATGGAAAGCGGCTAGGAAAACCTCAGCGTAACATTTGCGGTTTGCCATACAAATGACCGACCGCCGCCGACTGCCCCGCCCACTTAACGAAAATTATACAATAATGGCGTCAACATTAGCAAATTGTGCGCTTGTCGCAGCTCCCATTTTGGACATTTTCCCACCCAACCCCGCCCCCTAAATTCTTTTCCTAGTTCTCCTTTAATGAGCGTTTAAATTGGCGGATCCTGGCTTTTGCCTTGCTTTTTGATTGATTGCCCGTGTTTTCTTCCTCTTTTGTGTTTTGAGGGAAATGCATAAATGATTTAGCCAAGTATGCAAATTAAATGCTTGACCGGTTGTTGAAAAAAATAAAGAAAAGTGCTAGTAGTTCCCACTAATTTAAAGTAAATTACTTATGGTTTTTGGGTTTACAAAGTACGCTACCCTCGGAATTTATGATGAAATAATTTAGGTACCTTTTATCAATATAAGAATATTTGTAATACAATTTTATCAATAGAATAATTAAAAATAATCAAGTTATATTATTTGACAAAATATGATATTGTAATGTACTTGATATGTACTTGTAGATTGCAAAAAAATAATAATTCTACATTTAACAATGGACATTTTGTGCTACACATTTTAATTCTAACAGCTCTTCTTGACAGTTACTTCTGACTTTTCTCATAAGCTAAAACAGGAATTTAACTAGCCATTAGTATAAGCCACTAAACTCGTTTGAAAGCTCAAGCAAACAAAATGGGAAAAGCAAAGAAAAGAAAAACTCGGCTCTAAAATATAAACGAACATACTCGGGCAGACATGGTATAAATCACGCCTTTTGTCAGCATCAGATAACGTTTGGCATAAATTTAGTTTTAATTGACTTAATGCTTGTAGTTTTATCAAATAATTAATTACAGAGCTAAGTGTGGGCAACACCCAGCCAGATGACAAGATACTTTGGGATCAGGTAACACTTTGGTTGGGTCAAGAAAAAGGAAGTGCTCCTGTAGAGGCGTCTTTCTATATAAGCACACTGAAAATAATAGAATAGTACAAAAAATATTGGCATATTGTATACTAAGTTTTAACTTAAATGATAAAGTACAAAAATATATGAATAAAGGTTTAAAGTATTGGATACACGGCTACTTTAAACATTCCAAGTCATTAAAAAATCAAATATAATACATTTATTTCATTTTATAATAATAATTATATAATATTATAACTTTAAAATTTAAAATTTACATTTTTCAAAAATCAAAGAAAAATATATTAAAATCAAAAGTTATATCTTGTAAGATATTAAGTTTTTCTTCAGTTCTTAGATATCTTTCTTGACTAGTAGATACAACTTTCTTGGCAGTGGGCGTCTACAGTCTCTGCAGTTAGTTTGTCAACCAGTTTACGAGAGTTGTTTGCTTTGCGTGGGCGGTTTTACCCCCTTTTCCATTCAATTATCTAGTTTTCTATAAATTTTCTTGGCTGCAGCCTGCAGTGAACTCGGTGCATTTTGTTGGTTTGTAATTGCCCCATGTCAACAAGTAAGATCGATATCGCTGCCACAATTTCAGTTCTGACATTTTCGCTTTTGTCGTTGGCCGAGCAATAAAATTGTTATTGATTGTAATTAGGTTTGTAATGGGGTTATTTATGTGTGTCAGCCGTTGTTTATGTAGTGCAGTGTAAGTGCTGACTCCGGGCAAAAGTCCTGATTGATTGATGGCCAGTAAGTAATTGGTGGAAAAACAACTTTTAGCTGCAATTTAAATCAATTTTCGATGGGCCTGTGACTGCAGGCCTTTTTCACAAATAAACAATTCTGTTTAGATCCATCGTTTTAACGTACACTTCTTTATTCGACTTTTGTATACTTATTTTTAAAGATTATTTTGATCCAAATATTTTTGTTGTTATTTTAAGGTTAAAGGGGTAAAAAAAAGGTATTACATTTATTTTAGAAAAAATATTTTGTATCCTGCATAAATATATAGACTTTAAAAATTTTTAAATTTACATTGTACATTTTGAAAATTTAAAAATGTAACTAATCCCATTGCCATGTGCCTACAATAATTTTACAATTTAAATACTTGGTTAAATTATCTTTATTTCCGAAAAATGCAACTTAAGGCTTTTCCTGTTAAAATATTTAAGTCGTTCCTTTTTCCACGAACCTTTGAGTTACCACAAGGGACATAGTTAATTCAAAGACCGGTTTAACCAAAGTATCACTGACCAAGACTTTTCAAACAATTTATGCAGGGACCTTGAAATAGGCTCCTGATAAGTTCCTTAGGGCAACAATGAGCAGTGGACAATGGGAAAATAAGACAGGACACGTTGCCCATCCTTTTGTTCGCCGGTGTCACATCCATCTTCATCAGTCCAAAGTTTGCATTTAAATTGGTAATTAACACAAAGTGAAAGCGAAAGCTGCCAGAAAAAATGCGGGCGAATAAGCACAAACACAAAGACGCCAAAACAACAAGATGACATTGAGAAGTGAAAGGAGGGAAAAGCGGAAACAATCAACTACCCGAATGATAAGAAATGTGTGGCACAGGAAGTGAAAGCCAAGGGGCAGGATATCAGTTCAAAGTGCGAAATTGGCTGTCAAAGCTGGAGACAATCAACTGCACTGTTCGAATTTGAAAATTAAGAAGAATTTATAAAAATATTATTGTACTATTTAAATAAAGCGTATCTAAAGTATTATAACATATATATACATAACCAATTTAATAAATCGATTATTATTAGAACAAGATTTGTTCATAGATGTATTAATAAGTTATGAAATTTAAAATGTAGAAGGTTTCTTACTAACAAATTCTTCAATGATATGTTCTCTTGAGGGATGGAACAAATTGTAATATAATAAATTTCACATAAATAACAATTTTAATAAATCCTATTGAATAGTAAGCTTTAAATGTATATTTAAATAAAATTTTAATTTATTGTATAAATTAGAAATTCCATTTTTTAAGAGCATCTATATCAAATCTCAGTGAACGTAATAATTTCGTCGCTTTTGCTAACTGCACTCCCTTCATTTTCTTCCACTTTATCATTTCATTAAATCGCAAAAAGAAATAAAAGAAAGGAAAAACAATAAAATAGAAAATGGGGAGATAGTGGCACGTCCTTCCATTGAACGCTGCCAATTGAATGTAAATAAGAAAGTGACAGCCAAAATGGCGGGAATGAGTGGGAAATTCGGAGGAGAAAGTGCGGTGGAAGGAAGCTAAATCGTGTTGAGCAGGTCATCAAGGACAATCTTCGAACTGATGACTTAGTTGACAAAAGTGCGAATCAAGTCATCGGACAGGTGACAAGCAATTTATTAGCCATCAATTCTGCAAATGGCCTGGAGCAGCAAATGGGATCCCATTATTTGCAAAGGGAAAACTCTTGAATTAGGATTTATTTACTGAATTCTTT